AAAGGGAAAACTGTTAGCGACTGTTTATTGGTAAAAAAGCATTTCTACTGAAAAAACCTGCTGCTGCGGATCCCGAGCCGCCATGACGAAGAATCGCCGAAGTTCCAGCCACTGGCCGATCTGCAAAAACAGAAATTAGTAAATACAGAATTAGGCTATTTTCTTTGAAATGCAGACTCACCTAGATCAGCAAGCATCTGATGAGGAATGCGAAGCTGCTCATTGACAAAGTTGGCGTAGTCAACAGTGGTGATCTGCGGCTGTGGTCGACGTGGCTCACGTGGCTCGGTGTTGCGGACGTCCCTCGGTGCTGTCTGAGCCTTGTGATCAAGTGCCTCAGTTCGAAGAGCTCGTTGATCTGCAAACAAAACCCCGAAATTAGTGAATACAGAATTGAGCCAGTTTTATTTTTTTCTTATTGAAAGGTAGACACTTACCATGTTCAGCAAACACCTGATGATGATGATGATGATGATGATTGCGAATCACTTGTTGATTGACAGTGTCGACGTAGTAGTCATCATTGGCAGCAGTAGTGTTCTGAGGCGCACTGTTCTGATCATTGCGATTCAGAAGGATTGGGAGTTGTGCCTGCCTCACAGTAGGAGGAAATAAGTAACCGAATTCTTTTTCAGAAGAGGAAGCATATGAAGCGAGGGAGAAAGATGATCCAGGGCGAGTGGTTGTTGCTGCTGCTGCTTCGGCTGGTGACGACAGCGAGCCGACACCCGTGTTTCCTGACGGGCTCAAATTAACGAGTGCCCGATTGGGAGGTTTCGGTCCGTTTTGACGATTCATGATCGGTGGTGGTGGTGGTGGTGGTACGGTTGCGGTAACCAATTCGCAATGTTCGGTTTTCAATTGGGAGACGTAGTCGATGCTGAAATCGAGTGCTGCTGAAGTCGAGTGTGCCGTGCAAGAAGGAAAGTGCTCGATGCGCGCTGCCTGTTGCCTTTTTGTGCTCTCTCTCTCCCTCTTTCCCTCTCTCTCGCTGCTTGAAAAGTACACAGTTTGCGCTGTGCTGTACTGTGCTGTGCTTTCATGTAATGGGCAACCCTCAACTTTCAGTAGAATGTCAGCCAGCACGACTGTNATGATGATGATGATCCAAGGTCGATCAAGAGAGAGAGAGAGAGAGAGAGAGAGAGAGAGAGAGAGAGAGAGAGGAGTTGTGGATTGCCTGGTGGTGGCTGTTCTCGTCCGTCGTCATTACCACAGACAGACAAACAGGCAGACAGACAGTCAGTCAGTCTGTACTTTGTCCCCAGTTAATTACTGTTCTGCTGGCGAACATTTAGATGACTCATTGGAGTGAGCCCTTCTCAGTTCCACACCCTGGGCAGTGTGGCCACACTTGTAGGCAGCCGCCGATCATTTTTCGGTTTGTGGTGTGCGAAGTTTGTATTCGCCTAAGAGGGCACAGTTCTAATCACTGTCACTCACTCGACTCATTTTGAAACTATATTGCCTCAGACTCATTTCGCTTTTTTGGGTTTTATTAAATGTTTATAATGAGTACCACAACAAAGTCTTAGGTTACAGGCAATGTTTACCGGTGTTTGGGGCGGTTTTAGAACTGCTGCTGCTGCTGCTGCTGCTCCTGCCCCGGCGAGTTGTTGCTGTTGCTGGTGTTGTTGTTGTTGTTGCTGTGCTTGGCTCGCTTATGTCGCTTGACCGATCCCTGGTGGCTGTACCGCTTGCCGCACAGCTCACAGCCAAAGGGCAACGGCGGCCTGTCGACGTGCACCCGCACCAGGTGCTCCAGCAGGTCGCCCTCCTGGGCGAAGGAGGCGAAGCACCGGTGACAGTTGAAGGGCCGGGGAGTGGTGGAGGACCGCAGGTGCTGCTGCTGCTGCTGCTGCTGCTGCTGGAGGTGCCACTGGTGGTAGTGGAAGACCTTCCCGCAGACCGAGCACGGAAGCACTAAAATGGCGGAGTGCGAGGTGAGCATGTGCGAGCGCAGGCTGCTACTTTGAGTGAACGTCGACGGGCACACCCGGCAGTGGAACGTTGCCCGATTGTTGCCAGCATTGGGTGGTGGTCTCTGATTGGCCACATCATTGTTGGCGACCGTGGTCGATGGATGTTGAGAAGTTCCGACAGCAGCAATTGACTGCTGATTTGCTAAAGCTATGCCTGTAATGGTTAGGAAGTGATATAGTTGTTGTTGTAAATAAAGAGGGTCGTTACTGAAGGAAAATTTAGACCTACCTGTTCCAGTGGTCTGATTGCTGACCAGTTGTTGTTGCTGCTGTTCACTGGGGAGATAGAAGAGATGGTAACATTGGTGGTGGTGAGAGTGCTGGTCAGCAGCAGCAGCAGCAGCAGCAGTGCTCTGAGTTGCTTCGCCACTTCGAAAATTATCAGCAGTTGGTAGGCTCAGAAGCGCCGAAGAGTGAGCACTTCGGCGTGAGGACCGATGTGATAAATCAAGCGGAAGCTCCTGAGCGAATTCATCTTTTCCTTCATAAGAAAAGTAAGAAGAAGGCAAAAAAGAGGATGAAGAAAATGAGCTGCCAGAGTGAGCTGGGAGTGGTTCTGCTGCTCTGCCTGGCAGCCATAGTAGTGAGTGGCCATTCGGCCATGAAAGTTTCGGATCGCCATAGTAGTTCATTTTTGTTGGAACAGCAATTCTTCTTCTTCTTCTTCTTCTAGTTGGAAACGGGCGGTAGTAGTTCTGGTCGCTGAAGTGGCTGCCACCAAAGGAAACTAGCAGCTAGACATGCGGCACGCGAGAAGACTGTTGCTTTTTTCTGTCCTCTTTCTCTTTCTCTCTTTCTCTCTCTCTTTCCTCTCAAAGAGCTCGTGATGATGCAAAGTGCCGTATGGTACATGCTACCATCCCCTCACTACCAGCTACAGCCAATGCCACTGCCACAGAAACCGCTACCACCANACCAAAGGAAACTAGCAGCTAGACATGCGGCACGCGAGAAGACTGTTGCTTTTTTCTGTCCTCTTTCTCTTTCTCTCTTTCTCTCTCTCTTTCCTCTCAAAGAGCTCGTGATGATGCAAAGTGCCGTATGGTACATGCTACCATCCCCTCACTACCAGCTACAGCCAATGCCACTGCCACAGAAACCGCTACCACCACCGCCACTACCTCCACCACTGAATCCGTGGTCGGAAATACCTGACCAATACAGACCACACGCACACACATACACACTTTGTTTCCATCCGGTGCTCCCCTTCTTCTTCTCCGTATATTATCCCTCTTCCGAGCGTTGTCCGAGTGTACACAGAACCGAGTGTCCCCTTCATCTCCTAGGAAAGTTCTGCGGAAGAGTTCTCTTCCGCTTTTTCGCGTAATTCCCTCCTCCTCCCCCTCCTCACTTGGCCTTGTTCTCACATCGCCTTGCTTCATTGCTGAGGCATTGAGGCACTCCACTCAAACACTTTCCCACAGTGTTTTGCCGCCAAATTAGCTCTGGCCCTATATATATATTGCGACAATCTCTGCACAGTTGTGTGCTGTTGCGGCTGATTTTGGCAGATTTATGGGGACAAAAATACCTCATCCATAACTTTGGCCACTTGTGCACATTGCACAGCTTTGTCCACTCATTTTAGGACTAAATAGCCCTCATACAATTTTTTATTGCACAAAAATGTTGACAACAAAAATACCTTATCCGGTACAAGCAATAATTAACTGGTTTTGGGGGTAGACTTTCTAAAAGGTGAACTGAACCGAGTGCCACACTCCTCACAGTGAAACTTCGCTTTTTCTGGTGGTTCACCAGGGATGGTGAACTTTTCGGTGAAATTTTAGAGTGTGCATCCACTGAAACCTCTTCTGGCACGTTTCGCACTTGAATCGCCAGCTGTGCTGGCCCTTGAAAGCTCGAAGGTGACCCTGCAGGTCGCCCTTGGTGGAGAAGCCCTCCTGGCAGTGATCACAGCGGTACCGGTGCTCACCGTGATCAATGTGCTCCAGACTGAGGTGCTTGTACAGCCAACTTTTTGTGGCGTACTCATTTGGGCACAGGTCACACCGGTAAAGATAGGGCCTCCGCTTCTGCTCGTTTGTGGTGGCGTTGTTTCCTGCCTGGGCCTGTTTGAGTGGATTTAGTTCCTTCGGTTCAGTAGCAGTCAGTTCAGTTTCTGGTTCAGTATCTGATTCTTGTTTTATTCTTAATTCTAAATATGGTTCTGGGCCTGAGCTTATGCCTGGATCTAGTTCTGCTTCTGTTTCGAATTCTGATTCTGACTGCTGCTGTTGTTGTTGCTGCTGTTGCTCCTGCTGCTGTTGGCACTGGTTGGGCGTTTGTAGTTGGGCGGAAAAAGTGGCGGGTGAATGAGAGTTTAAAGAGGAGAAGGAGGAAGAATGCGACTCCTTGATGTGCCTTATCAGCGTGGAACGGCGCGCAAAGGCACTCGAGCACTGGTCGCACTGATGCGGCCGCTCGCTGATATGCACCAATCGGTGGCCCATGTAGTGGGCAAAGTCGACAAAGTCGCTTTTGGTGCAGAAGTCGCATCGGTAAAGTTTGGAGCCATTGGGAGGCGATCTGCGAGCACCAGCCCGAGCAATATTGGCAGGACGAGGCTTCAAGTACTGATCAAGTAGCTGACCACCTTCAAGATCAGCTCTCCTTTTCTGGCACGCTTCATAAGTGGTTGCTGTTTTGTTGTCGTTGTTGTTGTTTTTTGACATGTTAGCCCCCTCATTTGGAAGCATTGCCTGTGTCAGCCTTTTCCTTATCGCTTTCACCTCAAAGTGCTTGCACTGGTGCATTTCTTCTTGCGAGAAGTGTTCCAGGCAGTAGGGACATTGCTTAGGAAAAGGAGGAATCGTTAAAGAATCGTTTGTTTCACCATCATCGGCACTGGCAGACAATGCAGGGCAGTTGTTTCTGGCGGTAGTAGTCGGTGGCTTTCCTGCGGCCTTCTTCACCGACTTGATGTACGTTTGCTTTCGATTAAAGTTGGCGATGACAGTTTCTGGCGTCGGTTGATTTGATCTCGGGGTCACCAGCGGCTCAATGTGCATGCAGTAGTGCATCAAATTGGGAACGCAAGGTTCTCCGCAGTAGGGACACTGAAGTGAAGATTTGGCCGTTGATGCTGATGATAATGAGGGTGAAAATGGTAGAGGTGATATTGAGGATGCTGAAGAGGATGGTGATGGTGATGCTGCAGATAAAAAAGAAGATGGTAGCGGTCGTCGTCGTTTGGAGAGTTGCACCTCTTTCTCCTTTTCTCGCTCAAGTTTCTGAAACGCTTTAATCAGAGAAGGGTCCCAGGTCGGGGTGAGCAGCAGCTGTTGGAGCGTTCTAGTCGCCGAGGTGCTGCTGATCCTTTTCTCAACATGTTGACACTGGTGCAGCTTTTGAGGCGAGAGATGTGCCCGGCAGTAGGGGCATTGGCGTGGGGGGCACTGGCTATTGTGGTGATCCATCGTAAACACTTGATCAAAAGTAAGAAAGAAAGGAAAAGGATTGATTAAAACAAATGAAAATTGATGTCAAAAGTTGAAGGCAACTTGGAGTGTTTGTGTTCAGTGCACGGCACCAGTGAGTTTTGTGCGCCAAGAGTGCTCGTCCAATTTTGTTTTTCTTTCCCTTGTTGTTTTAGTCTCTCTCTCTATTCTTTCTTCACAACACATATAGCAGCTCTTTTGGGCAAAGGAAACTGTCTGTTCCATGGGCTTGTGGCTGTCTGTTACTGTTTGCGGGCTGCCTGGCTGACTGGCTGGCTGGAAGCACCTAGATCTCTCTTCTTCTCTCCATTCAGTAAAGCACACAAACACACAGACACACAGACAAAAACACAGCCACAAACATCACTTGAAAGAGCACCCCCGAAAAAGACCACTCTGTGGTTCTTGCTAACGGGGGCCTGACTGTCTGCCTGTCTGCCAGGCTGAAACGTCAATGAAACGGCAAGTCAATGAGAGAGCGAGAGAAAGTGGCACTTTGTTTTCCCTTTGCTGGTGCCCCAGCTTGCAGAGAAGCTCCCCCACAGCAGCTGCAAATGACATTCTTTGCATCACCAGAAAAGGACCAGAAATCATCACCTTTTGTGAACGCTTTTAATTACACCCTTTTATTTACACTCTTTTATTTACACATTTAATTTACAATTGAAAAAGGAAAAAAGGGTTTTATCTGCAGAATTTGAAAAATCACTGGTCACTAAATACCGTGGTAGTAGTGCTCACCGCTACTGGCAAGCACTGGTTACCATTTCCTTGCACCAGCTCCTTCTCCTTCTCCTTCTCCTTCTCCTTCTCCTTCTTCGCCTTCTTCAGCAGTAGAAACTTCTCAGTTCCCTTTGCAATGGCGTCCACCATCAGCGTGAAGACATTGTTGGCCGCCTGCTTCCTGTGCGCCTCCTCAAGGTGACTCTGAAGATCGTCGATGAAGATGAAGTAGACGGCGGAGACGCCTTGCTCAGGACAGAGCGGACAGGCAGTTGGCCGAATATTTTTGTGCCCGTTTTGGAGGTGCTCCTTGAGGCGCTGCTCGCCGTTGAAGCGCTGATAGCAGGCGGGGCAGTTTAGGGGGACGATTTTCGGTGGAAGAGGAGGTTGTCCTTCTGATGTGGTCGATTCCTCATTTGGGTGCATCTTTTGCAGATGGACCTTCAGATAGGAGGCCTGGGCAAAGGTGCTCAGGCAGTGCGGGCACTGGTTGCGATTGCCATTGTCAGACTGCTGCTGATGGTGGTGGAACAGCCGCTGGTGCTTGGCGAGGTTTCGCGCTCGCCTGTAGCTCTTCAGGCACTGGTCGCACCGGTGGTTGGAAGGACTTGCACTTCCGCAATGGCACTCCTTGATGTGCTCCTTTAGGGTGGAGAGGCGAGAGAAGGACTTTTCGCACTGCTTGCACTGGTGACGGAGTTCTTTAACGTGAACTGGAAGGTGCAGCTGGTACTCGGAGTGATAGGCGAAGCTTTTTGGGCAGTGCTCGCACTTGACCTTCTTTTCGGGTTTTGGTTTTGATTT